CTGGCTAGGGTTTCCATCTGGAGGAGGTGATCGATGAAGGTTTTTGGGCACGAGGAGCGGAGAAAGTCGGTGGCTAGGGTTTTTGGACAGAAGAAGGGGCTAGATACGAAGAAGACCGTGCCCGAGATCGGACTCGGGTCGGGTCCCTCGCTAAGCGAACCCATTGTTATCGATTGAAGCCAGGGACGGGGTTTTTTCGCTCTTAAACCCAACAGAGATTTAAAAAACCCGCCACGGTTTATTTATTCCTGTGAACCCAAAATACAAGGTTTAGTTTTACCACCGTCCCTCACTGTTTATGTTTGTTCGCGGAGTGGGCAGTCTCAAGTCTCAGGAAAAGATAAAGAAGATGTTTAGCCCGGCCAAATCACATTCACTCATGTGGGAAGAGGGGGGAAAGAAATAGCATGGAGAACCCTTTAGAGAAAATCTTGCCTGCATCGATACGTCGAATGCATATTTACAGGATGATAGTGGTTGCTTCGACATGATAATCTGGCCGCGAATCCCACAAGGCTGAACATCACGGTACTCTGTTTGTTTCGATCTTTCCGATCCATTCATAGTAAGCATGAATATGACAAGCATCTAGCGCCCTACGATCCTGATATTATTATCATACACAAATTATAGCTGATGGCCTGCATACGTGCCACTTAATAGTATAGAGCAACCATGATGAAAATGGCTGGTCCTGGGAAGAGACCGCCATCAAAAGGCGAAGTATTATACAGAACATGAAGTTTAAACTAGAGATAAATTATCATCAATGTAAAATACAGAAACCCTTTCTACACATAATAAACATCTTTCTACACATCATAAACATTCTAAATTTAACATTCTTAACCCACATCGCATACTTTACCAAAATAGATCCCTGCCTACAAGTGAGCATCAAACCGTCTTCAGCTGTTTCTTGGGAGACAAGCTTGTAGCCCAAAATCCTGAACGCAATCAAGAATTGAAAAGGGAAACTACAAGTTAGCTTACAATAAACTAAGGTTACTTGCTATACACAAAGCAAAACTTAATCCCAACATGCACTTTGAATGCTCAAAGGAAGTTAAATTTCACTATTGTCATGGTGTTCGCAGAAAACAAGTCAGAACTATCATGAAGTATTATGTAAAGCTTGCTGGAGACTATCATGAACTATATTAACTAAAGAAAACTATCACACTTTTTCCACTAAATGACATGTCTAACTGTCGTACACTTAACACTGTGATAGGGATGTATTGGTCCTTTTAACTGCATCGTTAAATCTTAAAGGGGTTTTCTGCTGATTACAAAGTTTGTGGTGGTTTCTAAAAGAAAATACTTCAAAGTAGTTTCCTGCCGAATCTCTTAATAGTTTATACTAGTTTTGTGAAATTGATGTAAGAAGTAAAATGATAACAGCTTAAGAAAGATACCTTGGTTAGAAAGCCCTCAGTTTGTCAAGGGCGAAAGAAAGGATAACAATCAAACTAGTTAACTCCTCTTCATCCAATCACCTCTGTGGCAGATCTGAACCTGCAGCTCCAGCTGGCGAGGCAGAGGAAGCCGATCCATTCTCAGCAGGGGGAGCAACACCCCATTTTCCTTCAGATTCTAGTGGCTCCAGGACATGGACTCCTCCATCTGTTAGCCCTAAAGCAAACTGAGTTGGCTCCAAGGGATGTGCCGCTATTACCAGTGGGTGAACATTTGAGCTGGAATAGGAAAACAGCAAAGGCACAATCATGTGCAATGATGTGTGAAGCTTATATCATAGATCGCAACATTAAGCTTGATAACAAAATCATTACAGGAAGTTATTAGCAGAAATGAGAGTGTTATGATGGATGTGTAGAAATACAGAGAGCATCTGTAGTAAAATTAGAGGTTGCTTCTATTGACAATAAAATAAATGAGAATATATTGAGATGTTTTGATCTTTGTGAAATAGATGCCAGTATTTAGGGAAAGTGACAAAATTATAATTAATGCGGCAAGAAGGTAAATGGAAGAATAGGATGCATGTGGGCGACCCCAAAATTTGGGATAAAGGTTTTGTTGTTGTTGTACAAGCATGTGTAGCAAGTAAAAACCAAAAGTTTACCCAGTTTATGTAAGAAAAATGTTAATGTACACAAGGAAAATGTGTTGGTTTGATAATGGAAATAGAAACCGTGAGAGGGAGAGAGAGAGGAGGGAGATGATTTTACAGGTAACCATGATTTGTGAGCTAATATTTTTAACAAAATACCTGACATTAGCAGGAAGATAAGCAGCAGGACTAATCCGACAACGTAGTCTCAGATTTGCAGCATTAAAGATGCAAATGCTAGCATCCAAAAAGCTTGCATATATTAATTGGCTGTCACAAGAGAATACAGCATGGGAAATGGGAGCTGAATTTTCTCGAGGTACCCACTATAAGAAAAGAAAAATAATCAGTTAGGCTGTCTCACATACAATATTGAATTTCTAAGATGACAAAATCGTTAAAAGAGGGGAAAATTATACCTGCTTCACACACTCTAACTTATTGGCTTCAAATATAGCAATTTGTGTCTCATGTACAACCAGGAAGTGGATCTGATCCTGATGAAATTGTACCCTTGTGTCTGAAACTGCATTTGAAGTGCTACCAGGAGGAAATTGCAAAGGTCTGCTCTTCTGTTTCTCCCACCCATCCATACCCCAAACACAAAGCTATAACAAGAAACAAAGTTAAATGAAAAAGTATGAATTTGCCTGAAACGTCTGGGATTTCTCTTGAAAAAACACCCAAAAAATCATGAAAAATATGTTCACCTGGGCATCAGCTCCAGATGACACTAAAACATTTAATGCATGGGAGAAAGCAAGCCCAGTGATCCTTTTTGAGTGGCCTCTCAATTTGCTTTTAACCTGCACGTCGATGATAGTTTTAGAATGTTTTTTTATAAAGTGAGGAGTAACTCAAGCGCTCCCCTTCGATAGTTTGATACCTCATCAACTCGGACATTATAAATCTGGATGGTTGAATCATCCATTCCAATAGCAATGATGTTGTTATCTTGGGGATGGAATGCTAGAAATGTTGCAGCTGGCGGAGGAGGCATGAAAGTTGTCATGGTCTGTATTCATCGAGTACAAAACAAATGTTAAGAGACTGAATGTATAGAATCTAAGCTGGAATAGGATATACTAGTTTTAACCAAACCTTAAATGTCATCATGTTGAACAAAGAAATCTTTCCACCTGATGCAGACATCACATAAGAATCATTCTTTGACAAAGCAAAGCAGGGCACTGTTTCTTCAGGGTTTGAATCCGTTGTATCATTAGTCATCAGTATGCCACTTGGTGGCTGCCATAACTGAGGAGTTACACTAGCTGTTGCCTAAAGAGGAAGCATCATTAGGTTAATTAGCAACAGAGTCACAAGCGGCAAATAATATGGATAAACAGAGCCAATTATCATTACCCACCTTTCCGCTCAAGTTGCGATCATTACGTGGCCACTTCCAAAGTAAATGGACGGCATTGGATGCTAAAGCCAAGATGGCAACTCCAGAATTTGTATAAATTAATCTTGATATCTGCAAATATGAGAAGAGAATTCGATCAATTAAAATCCCAGGAAGCATTGGACGGTAAAGAAGAAAATTTTAAGAGGCAAAAGTTCAGGCTTAAGTTAGCATGTTAGACCTAAACATCAAACAAACTAGAGTAGAGGGCCAAAGGAGATCAATTTGCAATGCAGTTGCATGCGAATCAGCTATGGTAAATTATTTTTCGCTGCAGCTCCCTCCTGGAGGGGAAAAGCCATTTCCCACAATATCCTTTAAAGGGAAAACTCTGTATTTCTTAATATTAACCCTCAGGGGAAAAAGCATGCAGTTACATGCAAATCAACTATGTGGTCTCATGGGATACCATGTAGCCAACTATTAAATAAAATTCAAAAAGAAATGTGTGCACACTAAGTGCTGAGAATCTGGACATAATTACAACTTCAACTTTCAAGCCTTGTTCCTAATTAATATAGTGCAACCTACATAATACATCATTGCAGAATTCCCAATCTCAGGCACTCCCATCATAATCTTCAGGGAAATGGACTTAGGCTAATAAGAAATGATGTATTTTCTACCAAAACAAATTACTATCTGATATCAGATTGTCATTCTTTAATGAGCTGCATCATGAAGGTAACCCATTTATTTGGTCGTTGTATGACCTAGGCTTAATTCCCTCCACATATCATGAACCAACCAATGCGAGCACCATACAAGTATAGCTACAGAATCACTGCAAGGATAACGTTGCGCAAGTGATGAATGCTTATGTTTAATACAAAAGAAAATCACTAGACTTGTTTGACACTTCAAAAATCTTTCTTGTGTTTACACATACAAGATCAATTAAAAGAAAATCCTTTGCTGCACATCACCAGATATTTCTCCCTATTAACTTGAGTATTATAATGGACACACTAATAAGCATCTCATTACTAAAAAATAATAAAAATAATCTTAATAAGGGAAAAGAAGGGACATGGAACTAGCTAGCCTAAATGTTGATAAATTGATATCAAACACCGGACTATTGATGATTATATTAGTTATACACCATATCACATTGCCTATTTTTGTCACTGAAGTCATCTTGTGGACGTTGAAAGCACCAAAAATGGACAATTGCTTCTTTTTATCAGATTTTATTCACTTCACTTTATAGATTACATAGAGATTAATGTATTTTCCTTGTTATATTTAGCAAGTATCAGCTGTATGACCGCGCTAATGTTGCCAACAGTGTCCTTAAGAATCAAACTTTCTCCCCCATGACTCTATTCACTTTTTCTATTTTAAGAAACTATTAAGAAGACATTTCTTAAGAAAATCTTAAAAAAATTGAGAAATGAAAACATATTGCTGTTGTATACGTCCCGTGCAGAGCAAGCATATTAACTTGTATGCAAGTACTACAAAAAAGATGCAAGATTTACCACAGCTTTAAAAAGATGGTGATTCTTATGGTGAAAATTTTTTAAGATGGAGTAAAGGTCAAAACATATTGGAGAGTTTTAAGTTCCATACATTGTTATCGAGGCGCAAGGCGCAATGCGGGGCGCAAAGGCCCCTTACGCGCACCATGCGCAAGGTGCACAACGATGCGCACGCCTCACTGAATTGAGACGCACAACTCAAACTAATATTTTCCAACATAAGACAAAGAAGCATATAAGCAACATGTTTATAAATTGTCACATAAAAAAACTAAGAAATATAATTTCACCGACTAAATCACGAAAGAGTCTTAATTAGCATGCATAACATAGAGAAGTTCATAAGTTTTCACAAATCACAATGCAAGATAATCTCCAACATAAGCAAAAGTCTATGAAACAAAACAAGCAAGTAACAAATAAGAAATATGTATTTTCATTTCAAATATGATATATGTATTTTTAAGTAACAATTAAGTGATTAAAAAAACATGATTGTTCATAATTTTCTAGTTAGCATTTTTAATTGTTATTTGCTAGTTAGCATGAAAAGATAGAGAATGGAGGTAACAATTAAATATTACATGTTCATAATTTTCTAGTTAGGATGATAATTAGAGAAGTTACAATTAGCAAACAAGTATACTAAATTACTAATTACTGTTTCCTTTTTATAGGTTAAACATTAAAAGATGGAGAATGAATTAGCAACTAGCAATAAAGAATCTATTACATGATGTAAATATGTAATATGTAAATTATTTAAAAAACAGAAGAAAGAGTCTATTACATAACGCAGGTGTCAAGCGCGTGCGAGGCGCACACGAGGCGCACGCTTTGTGCGTGCAATGCCCCGCCTCTGGGGTGCAATTGCCACAGCCCGCAGCGCCCTGCGCCCGGGGCACGCGCCTCGATAACTACTTCCATAAAGAAGGAAAAAGTAGAGAACCAGAGTAGTCATATGTGAAATTGTCTAATATACACAAGAAAAAACAACTAGGTATCTAACAAATGAGGTTTGATCATATATCCCCTCTGGTTACAATTTCTTATTACCTAAAATAAACTTGCCTGATTACTTTGTCCTTATCATGCTAGGGTTACATATTGACATAAAAGGACTTGTTTAGTTAGAATTGTTTCAAAATAAAGTTTTTCTCTTAAAGGTAAAGAGAACTAGTAGAGCATAATTAATTTAGCGATTAGGATCACATTCTTAATTTAGCTGAGTTTATCCTCCTATAATAATGAGCATCTTAAACCATTCACAGAGGGTCCCACGCCTTCTGCAAATTAGAACTTCGAATCATGATAACTTCATTAAAAACATGTAAAATACTCAATGAAGCTAGAGACACATAGCACATATTAATCAGTCTAAAGCCAAATGTATATACTATTAAATACAATGAACCAGCAAACTCCAAATATTGTCGGCATGCAATATTAATGATGCCAACAAATAAATCGTATTAGCACAAGGCCCAAAGCACGTGGCAGCATATTTAATGTTAAGTACAAGAAAATGTAGCATTAAAATCATGGAATATGAATGCACTTTTTCAGCACGCAGGTGTTATGTCAGTACACAAGCTTAATAGAAAACATATAATAGATTCATCAAGAATGCTGACAGATCCTACCCTATCCTAAGAAGGACAATATACATGTTGAATCATATCTAGCATGTAAACACAAGCAAATAGTGCATGACATTCATGGGAGAAAGTGCCGTGTAGAAGGTGTCTTGTCAAAGTTTAACTCACCAAAGAAAGGCAAAATGAAACATCCTAAACTACCACGTGCTAAATTATCAATAGGCTAATAGATATAGACAAGTGAATAATGCTAGAATCTGGAAATGTTGACATAAAAACAAGAAAATAAGTGTAACATTGAAGGGAAGCCATAGTAGCAGCAACATCAACAATTGTGCATCTCCGTGAGACCATTACAGAATGTCATGTGCCATCAAGAAATTACAAGCAATATAGGAGACGTTAAATGTCAAAATTAGTTAAGTAACCCCTCTGCTCCAGCTATAAGACTAGAAAATGCTCCATTTAAGATGAACTATCAACAATATGAGATGGAGAAGACAACGATAACTTCAAACATAAAGGTAAAGCACAATGAAACAATCCACTACTATGTGGCTATTATGGAAGTTGGATAACTTCAAACATAAAGGTAAAGCACAATGAAACAATCCACTACTATGTGGCTATTATGGAAGTTGTAAACAAGAAATTTGTAAGAAGCAAAAATGAAACAATCCACTACTATGTGGCTATTATGGAAGTTGTAAACAAGAAATTTGTAAGAAGCAAAAATTAAGGCAACACTAGCATTTCAGATCTCAACATCAAACCAAACCAACTAGAGCAGCAGATCAAAGCAGAGCAATTTGTCATGCAGTAACAAGGGAAAAAGAGATATCGTAAATAGTTTTCTGCAGCAGCTCCCTCCTGGTAGGGAAAAGCTGCAGTTACGAATCATAGGATCAAGGTGTTGTAGATTGAAATAATTTTACCTTGCTGGGCCTTGGATTATCCATGAGCCGTAATGATCGACACTGTGCTGGTTCATTAATTTCAGTAAGCTTCCAAATCTTTGACTTGTCCATGGACTCGTCAATTACCCTAGGTTTTACATCCATTGAGTTTCTGTTCTCCCCATTCTATCAACATTAGAAAACAAAATTCATTAAAGAAAAGTACTACTTTAAGAAATCTGATGCCTTAACAGGTGTAAATGACAAATGAAAGTTAAAGATAAGTCCCAGCATGGATTATTTTAGGTTAAGTAAGCAAACCATTGCAGTAATTGTCATTGTAGATGCAGCTCTATCTGTCGCTCCAGAAGTAGATGCAGTATTGACAGCAGACAAGGCATTAATTATAGGCTGCACCATGAACAATGTATTTGATAAGGAAAGTGTCATATTAAACAATAAAGATGGGAAGCAGTTAATCAGCTGAAAAGCACCTTTGTAACAGCTTCAGAAACACTTCTAGAAGCATCAAAAGCCCGATTTTCAAATGTTCTAAGCAAGCGCATTCCATCAGCATTTGCCAAGATTTTAATTCCATTATCATGCGTAGAAACAGCCAACAAAGTGCCCTCCTTGTTAAACCGTATCCTAGGACTTGCCTAAATTTTGGAAAAGAAAAGGCAAAAGGAAACAAACAAACAACAACAACAAAACACACACACACACACACAAAGCAAACAAAACAAAACAAAAAACAAAAGACCACGAGATTAGTACCAGCTACATAATTCTTCATCCTCTAGAAAAGTTGACGAAAATCTAATTGATGACATGATAGTTACTTACTGGGAGTCCACCCTCAGCATCAATAGTCGTCAAGAGATTAATATTGTCCATATCCCATAATTTTATGAGAAATTCATCTCCAGCAGCCAAAAACCGGTTTCTAGTTGTATCAAATTGCACGACACCCAAAGATCGCTTACGGAAACCTTGGTAGGTCCTCTTGACAGCTCCTTCACTTTCATTCCATTCCACGATGAATGATTCCCCTTCTTTGCTAGTCCCACATGAGAATAGCCTGAAATAATCAAGGGAGAATTCATATATGATCAGTAAGATGAAGAAAATCAAAATACTACATGGATTTCCCTAGTACATAACAAGGGGTAAGCGCACTATATTCACCTAGTACCATCAGCACTGTATGCCATAGTAGTGCACCAATGACCTGGAGCATCATAATCAACTCTAGATCCCACGTTATCATACAGCCATGCCTTTATCTTTCCATCTAATGCAGTTGAAAATATAAACTGTATTGTCAACAAAAACGGTATCAGAATATCAATAAAGATAGCAGATATAGACATGACATAAAGATAGCAGATATGGACATGATATATAACTAATACTATGCCTGACTGAGTAAATAAATAAACAAAACGGATGCCTTCCAACATCCAAAAAGAACAGTACCTGAATATTCTCCTTATAATGTGGACAAACAGAATATACAGGTTCCTCATGACCTTCAAAGGTATATTGTTTGGTACCAGTAGTCGCATCCCACACCTAAATTACATAGAAGAAAACATAAATGAGACTTTGCTGTACATGTGAACTTTTGCTTCCTTATATAGCTAACTTGCCAATTTTAACCTTAATCATCTTGTCATCTCCACAAGTGACTACACATAGCTGCTTGTTTGGGTTAGAGAATGCAATATCGTTAACCCCACCAACATGAGCATCAATCTACAAACCAGACAAACATATTAGAATCCAATATGAAAACAAGATGAGTGCTTGAAAATTAAAATATATGCTAGTTATGTTTTATACACCTCCAGATGCTGCCTAACATCATCACCCCTATGATAAGAATATATCTGTACAATATGCCTCGAGTATGCAACTCCTGCAAAAAAAAGGTTTGAAGTAAGGATTCAGATTCATTTCAATTATAAAGTTTAATCAACAATTAATTTTGATATGAAACCTCCAGGATCGGCAAACTTACCAAACAAAGAGCCATCTGGACTCCATATTATACGGTTAACAGATACGCCCGGATCTTTTACTAGAGCAGTCTGGGTACCACAAATTTAAGTTTCAAAATAACATACAGTCAACATCCATGCAGTGCTCTTGCAGCTTAATGAAATATAGCTAAGAGTAGAGAAGGAACATAACCTGAAGAGGTACGGAACATGCTCCAAGTTCCCAAACCTTGAAATTCTTTTGCACTAATCTCTCTCTAGTTCCGACATCCCATAACCCAATGTCACCCACGTTCGTACCAACTAAGCCAAAGAAGAAAACATGAATCAAACAGAAGCAACCAAAAAGAAATGGGCTGAATCTGAATAAATCAGAAGAAAAAAAAGCGCATTGTAATGATATCATATGAATCAAGATCTAAATGGAGAGCTCACCAAGCAGAATAGTCTGCTGGATGGGATGAAAATCCATGCTCATGGGAGTTGAACCCTGGTTCAGTATCCGAGCTACATGCTTAGGCAAGTCATCCGGAGAGTGCATAGCCTGATTATGGTTTTGAGAATAGGTGACTGGCAATATATTTACAGGCAGATTCACCTGCTAAGAGGGCTTCCAAAAATTAATAAAAGGGCATAAAACAGCTGCTAGATGATCTTTAAGATATAATAAGTTACTGGTATAAAAAAAAAGAAAATATGTTCTGTCTGGGACAATCTAGCACACCTCGTCAGACATCCCCATAGGCCTCGGTCTTTTTGATAAATGTTCAGAATCTGCTGAAGGATAATCTAAACCGGAATTTGATGGAGGAGTCCTCGGATGCTTCAGAAGTGCAACTGCTATTGAAAACAGAACAAGTTAATAAAACAACTTATGTGGATTAACTCAAAGATCCAAACGGAACTGATATCTAGAGAAATCTCTCATTATTATCATACATTATAACTTACCAGGATTTGAAGGAGCACCGAGACCGATGGCCCCACCAGAAACTGCTGTATGGGTGATAGCTGGTGGATTTGACATCCAACCGGCAAGGGGTGTAGGAACTGTTGCTGTTGTAGGTTGGAAAGGCTGAATAAATAGAAAAGAATTCATATAAGAAGGTTTAGAATTACCATTCAGTAAATTGAAATAGAATTACAGTTAGATCCGTTACCCCATGCGCACCCAATGGAGGAAAACCTCCTGATTTTGTAATGGACCCGAGCAGTGGGCTATTTGCAGGAGAAGGGGCACGTGCACCATTAGGCTGTCCACAACTATGATCGACAAAAAGGGTTTTTATATCTGGATTAGGCTTTGGATTTTTGCAGAGCTGGTGCTGCCAGTTTAAGCTGTCAGATCGAATAGACATAAAATTCATACCCCATCTATTATAGTATTTTATGAGGTCAAACTTGGATTTGAACAAAGATGAGACTAAAAAAATTTGTTTGCTGATACTTCTTTTTGTTCACTGTCACTTGCAGACAGGAAAACAAAAAACAAAAATTAAAAGACCCGTACAAAAGATCATGACATACAATGTGGATGTGTCCATATACACATACCTGTATGTGTTTATAAGTATTCATGAAGCTCGACACGTATGTAAATATGTGTTTATCAGTATAGTAGTTACTAGTTAGATTGTATATGGATGCGGACAAGATATGAATATGAATGTACATTACTAAATTCATATTGATGTCTGTGAATGATCTATTGTTCTATGCACTTTCATATCACTATTTACATATGCAAATTCTTAGAAAACAAAAACACAAAGGAAACACCTGAAGAAATATAGGCCAGGGTGACTAACTTGACACGAATTATATGAATTGTTCTTTACGGTAGCAGAACTATCATTTACCTTTCTTTATTTCTTTTTATTTTTCGTGGTTTATCTTTCTATAAAAGCTGGTATACTTATAACATTGATTTTAATTGTAGGTTTTATCTTGAAAGTTAATTCTTTAAGCTTGTTGTGGTTAAGAAATATGAAATATGGTGAAAATATACCAAGCTATAAAAGATTAAATAAACAATGACTGCTTTTCAACTATTCTCACTATCCGTGTTCAGTAAGAGTTCTAGACATGGGTATCTCTGAAAACACGCACATAAAGACAATATACAGCTGTAGCAATAACTATTTCTAACAATGTATAAATGTAATATTACCTTTGATTAATAAGAGTGCGCAGCCTGGAATTTCTGAGGCTTGGGAACTGCAATTTCTCACGAAATAGAGGGTTTGCCTCAATGAGTTTCTTCAGTTCAACCAGCATTATAGCCCTTGCTGACTTCGTATCCCCATATTTTGATAGTTGCTCATTTTCCCTATAAAAATAGATTATTCAAATCATATAGAGCAACAGAAATCAACCCAAAAAATAAAAATAATAATAACAACAATAATAATAACATACCTGAAATTTCCCAATGTCAATAGTTGGGTAATTTCCTTAAATAGCTCCTCATTGAATGAGGCAAAGACTTTCAAATCCTTCACAAGGATGTCAACGGCCTTTGCTCGATCTTGCCTATAAATAGAATTTCATTAATGATTCTTTCATAAAAAAGACAATACAACATGCCTAAACTTAGATACAAACTTGTCAAGCGCCTCGAGGTACTTTTGTTTCCGAATTTCAAAGAAAATCTTCATCGAATAACGGTTGTCGTCAACCTTAGTGAAACCAGAGAGGTACTTCTCGACCTCGTCCCAGTTCCCATTATGCACCTCATCCTCAAAATACTTCATATTGAAGTAGAATCCCGACTCTTGCTCAAGTCTAAATTGCCAAAAGAAGGAATTACAAATCAATAACAACATCAAAACCACAGACGAGAATCGGATTACAGCAAAAAGATAAGAACTTTATACTTATGAACGGTCTCTTTGAACTTCTCCTCATCGAGGAACTGCAAGATCAAGAACACAAGCTCCCGGCTGAGAGAAGACATCGCGATCCCCGCATCCAAACCCTAAATCACTCAAAAATCAAATCTTCCCTCTAAAGTGCAACAAAAAGCACAAAGGTTTCCATAAAAGGAAGGAATTCAGCTCATTAAACCATTCCGAATCCAGAAACCCTAACCTCCAGAGATCTCGCCTCTGGCTCAACGAATCTAGGGTTTCGAGTGATCGGAACGAACAATCGCGAACAATAAAAGGCTAGAAATCTGAGGATTTAAGCCACACAAAAAAAAAACTAAAAAAGGAAGAAAAAAAATAAGAATAAATTAAGGTGCTGACCTTGAGCAGAGAGATCGATTCGAAACTTGAAGGGGTCGCAGGTGAAGACGCCCCTCTCTCTCTCTCTCTGGAAAATGAAGCGAGAAAATTTAAGAAATCCCATTTTCAGATGCAGAGGGGCTCAGATTTATAGGGGAGGAGACAGAAGAGAGAACAGGAGCTTATCCAGGCCACCTGCAGATCTACTTATCACATTTTATAACCACGCGGTCTTATCATCGATAAGCACTCGCGCTTTTATAAGCCCCACCGCGATGCCGGCCAGCTGGCATTCGCGCGTTTCGAATGACATGGCCCCGTAACAGGATTTTCGGCCGCCGGAATGAGGCCACGCGTCCAGCTGGCTCCGCTGCGCTGTTCGCTGTTCAGATAAGCACGTGGGGCCCGCCGGAGGGGGGAGGGGGACCAAAAAGAACCCATCAGCGCGTTGGACAAAAAAATCTTGGGCGGGGTCTTTGCTGTTAATTACGCGGAATGCCACCGCTTTCTTGATTTTATCGCGATACGTGAGGGTTTAACAAAAGACGCGACGAGTTATCGCGGCTCGTTTTTTTTTTTTTTTTTTTTTTTTTTTTTTTTTTATCTTGGGCGGGGTCTTTGCTGTTAATTACGCGGAATGCCACCGCTTTCTTGATTTTATCGCGATACGTGAGGGTTTAACAAAAGACGCGACGAGTTATCGCGGCTCGTTTTTTTTTTTTTTTGACTTTTATTATTACTTTTTAAGGGAATCGCGGGTTTGTTGGCAACGATAAGATTAGATTGACCATTATTGATGTGAAAAAATCGTGCGGGTCGCGGTCGATATTTCTTCAGGTGACGATAAGATACAAAGAGGTGGGGGAAATAAAGAAGGCTTTTGGTTGAAAGAGGGGTGGTGGAGATTACCGGGCGGTGACTGGACTGGGGGTTGCATAAACGTGGGGAGAGGAAAGTGAACGACCCGCTTGCTTTATGAGCAACAAGGGCAAGTGAAGTGCTAGCTCACTTGGGGAAACCTAAGTGTGCGTTTGACTACTCCAAAATAAAATTAGTTTTTTTTTACTCTTTTTTTTTTTTTGTTAACTGGGTTTACATTTGGATCCTATCAGAATCACCTCTACACGAGGGTAGGGTTATCGGCATAATATATATAAGAGTTGTAATTCCCAAACTAACCATTTTGACTACCCGTGAATGATATAGATCACCCATTTTTTACTCTAATTTAATGATAGAATTTTGAACTAGTTCAACTTGGGGCCAGTTTTTATCAAATGAGAACTTTTGAAAAAAGAGATATTTTTTGATAAATATTTAGCAAAAACTACTGTTTTACTAAATATTTAGGAAAACCGACCTATTTTTTGCCAGCTCACTAAGGCTAGCAAAAAAGAGGTCGTTTTTTTGCAAAATACGAAAAACTCACGGGGCTAGTAGTCCCGTGGGTATCCATAACATTGGCATCATTGGAATCCTCGAGTACCAAGCTCATGGGCGCACTCTTAATCAAGATCGTCCTCTCCTACTCATCGATCTTTGTATCAACAAACCTCACATGTCTCTCCCTCTCAGTATCAAACGTCGATATTTTTTGGGTCTGATCGACGAGCATGTCCATGAAAAGGTCTTGTCGTGCTGAAGGTGGCCGACGAGAGCCACGTTGTGGATGAAGGCGGGGTTTGAAGCGAGGACGAGCAGGAACTCAATGGAGACGTTGGTGGACGAGGAGTCCCTGCTAGGGTGAGCTCGAATCGAACAGTGCATACGAGTTTGATGATGGGCATCTCAAGGGGCTGCTCGTCCTCATCCTGACTAGGATTTCTACGCCCTCGTGGTAGACCTCCTCGGCAAGTGGGGTAGTACTTATTTTCCTCAACAAGGACAAGTTGGTAGGAGGTAGGGTCGGTGCACATGTTGTCGGTAGGGATCAGGGCGGAGCCGTTGGGGGCGGCAGCAAAGGGCGATTCATCATCGGCGTGGATGACCGAGGGGAGGGAGAGGGGCAACGGCAGCATCGGTGTCGGATGGATCACAAAGATTGGAGGGTCATTCCAGCGATTTTTTTATTTTTAATTTTAAATTTTTTTTTTTTTGAGAGAGAGAGAGACGGTGAGAGTTTTATGAGAGAGTTGGTGAGAAAGATTTATGAGAGAGTCGGTGAGAGATTTTCTAGAGAGACTAGATTTTGAACTAGAACAGAAAACCCACGGGACTATTAGTCTCATGGGTTTTCTATGTTAAATGTTTAGGATGTTATTAACAAGCTCTAAACACACATTAACAAGCTCTAAACACACACGACTAATAGTCCTGTATGATTTGAAACTCGTATTTTGTAAAATCGACCTCTTTTTGGCCAGCCTTGGTGAGTTGGCAAAAAAGATGTCGATTTTGCTAAATATTTAGCAAAACAGTTATTTTTGCTAAATATTTATCAAAAAAAGTCTTTTTAAAAAAATTTCTCCTTTTATCAAACTATAAATGAGTTTTGGACCAAAGTTGTACCGGCTAAAGTAAGTTTTGAAAAGTTGGCGAACACACCCTTATTAGTTTTATATGTAGTTAGCAAGCTCTTTAAATTTGAGTTAAGGCTAAATAGGAACTACTTTTGCGTTTGGCAAAAAAATCTAGCAAAAGTTCGCCCACTTTTATAGGTCAACCCACAAAGTCAGCCCTCGTTTTGACCACCTCTCCATGGTCCATGCTCGATCTAGTTTAGAACAAATCTTAGCCGTGACTGTTCTTAACACCATTTTTGTTAGGTTGTCAAACACACACTAAAGAAACATGAGAATTTTCTTTTGTACTTTTTCTTTTGTGTTTATTCTCTAAGATAGAATGTTCAGCAGATGTTAAGCTTATAATATTTTTTATATGAGAAAAATGTATATTCTTGTCGTATGGTGGGGGGAGGGGGGATTCCATTATATGACAACTGATACCTAATCGCCATCAGGTGAAAAAAAACGAGGAAAGTGAATGCTCATAACAACATTTGGTTCAGATTAAGTCATATCATTGAATACGATGAAATTCCCTCATATGACATACGACATATGACACTTATTAACCTCTTTTTATATATAAATAATGTTTGGATATTATATAGTTGAAGCAACATTCGATGCAATTTGCACTTATTTTATTTATTTTATTTTCAATTAATACCTTAAAGAGAGAAAATGAAGCAACAAAACTTTTCTTGTCTACATTCACTTTCTATCCATTAGCTTACGCAAAACCACATGAAAAACCAAAAAAGGTAAAAATATTGTACGACATTCTTCATTTTCCAATTAACTTCCAATTAAACTTAAATGTTATATAGAGGAAATGGGAATAAATTTAATTTTCTAAAATCCGAGATGCTCTAGGGCGCGTTTGGTTCGGTGTTTTTGAGCTTGAAAAACCTGACACAATGTCCCATCTGTGTCAGATTTCAAGCAAAAACGCCTCTGACACAGATTTCAAGCAAAAACGCCTCTTTTAAAGACGTTTTTGCTTGAAATCTGACACAGATGGGACACTATGTCAGGTTTTCAAGCTAAAAAAAACCGAACCAAACAGTAAATGCTATCATAATTCACATGTTCAAAAAATAAATAATGCATGAATGAACCCACTTTGAAGCACAATTGATATAATCAATCAGAGGATACCATTTAGACCAGCTGCTTTATGCATTATCTCACGAGAAGAAACGGAGTTATAAGAAAAACTGACGAAAAATCGGTTTCCGTCTGATTGAGAGGAGTTATTATCGTCCATATATTCTTTCACGATATCGATATTTTAGAGCATGCCAAGAGAAACAAGGATATTCTCGGTCTCTTTGCTTCTCTTTTGCTCTTTCTTTTTTAAGTTGTTGGAGTTCGAAAGTGAAGTTTCAGGGCCTTTTTTTTTTTTTTAATTTCCTCAAGCTCAAGTTTTGTTTGGGTGGCCTAAGAATCTTTTTCTTTTTTTTTTCATAAATTGTGATTAAGATGTTGTAGCAAACTTTTCACCACCAACAATTTCGTATGGAAACATGTGAAAATGACAATAATTGTTTCTTATTTTATCATTACCAGTGATAGTGACACTGAGACCATCTGTTATAAGCCAAACAATATTTTATTTTTGTTTTGAGTAATGATAATAACACTATTCTCACATTGACCGAGTCGTCAATTTTTGAAAAAAATAAAAAGGTCACACCCCGCATTTTGGAAAATTCTTAGGTACTCGATGAGCACTACGTCGCACCATTAGGAGGAGGATATGCAGTACAAGATGAATTATTTAATTTCATCATCCACTATTCTACAAGTGGTTTGTGCTACATGACATTCTTCTGTTGACGTGGTGTGGTGCTAGTGAATCGCATAAGAAATTTTCCCATGTTTTTTCCCTTTTAAGAATCTCATCGGAAGCTAGTATAATACTTCTCATTGTGCTCCTAAGTTTGCGAAAAATGAAAAATTATGCACCCTCAACAAATTAAAATCGGGTTTTAGAAAACTATCATAAACATTTCATAAACTTATCATTGTTATTGGTGTTAGATCTACATCATAAAACTTGAGATCTAAAACCATATAGCCATGATTAATTCAAAGAGATTAACAAAAATCTAAAGAGCGGAAGCTTATACCTGAATCCATTGCTTGATCTTGAGATGTGTTTTGATCTTCTAACCTTAGGGTTCTCTATAGCCGAATTTCTCTCTTAGATGGGGGTGAAGAGAATTAGAGAATGTAACCCTAGGTTAGGGACCATAACCCCTTATTTATAGATGTTGTACTTTTGTAATTTAGCCCATCAATAAATTACAATTACAACCTGGTATCTGCACATATAACCCCATGACTTATTTAAATACCAAATTAACCCAACTTAATTGATCACTTTAGTGGGTTATCCTAAAAGGATAGCAATACACATTGATTAATCATATGTGCCCACAAATAGATTTATTAGATTAAATCCAACAATTGGATGACAAATTACACAAAAGTTGATCCAGTGAACACTCGCAGCATTTCCCTTAAACTATAAGTTATTAACAATAGTGCGAAAAGCACTGTAGACGTCGAATTTCATGGTAATAACATGAAATAAATAAACTGAAGCGGAGGTTCATATTAATTTTTGAGAAACCAACGATGATTCTTAGTAGTTTCCTAAAGTTGTTCTTTATTATTATTTGCGTGGGCATCAAAATGTGTACCTTTTCTCAGAAAGAAAAGCAGCAGCAACTTTGTACCTTTGCACGTGCATTGCACTGGCCACTAAAAAATCTATCAACAAGAGGAAAGCATTTCCCTTTGTCTGCATTCGTTACCAAGCTCTCTATATTTAACGCGTAATTGAAGAATTCAAATAGTCATTCACAAAGACTCTGAGCATCTCCAATCGGGGTGTATTTTGGAGAAAGATTTAGAGCATCTCCAACCGGACTACATTTCTTGCCCGGTGACATTCTAATCGAGCTCCAAAAAATGGAGCCCGACTGCAAAACTCCCCCATAGGCTGCATATTTGGAGTTTTTCCTTCAAATATGTAGTCCCCTCCATATCACTATTCACCAAAAAAATCCCTATTTTACCCTTCAAACAAACTAACTACTTTTAGATATTCAACTTATGTCCTATTTAATTATTATTTTATAATTTTTATATATTTTTAAAATAAGTAAAAGAATTGTTAAATTGAGAGAAATTGAAATATAAAATAAGTAAAATAATTTTTATATATTTTATAATTTTTCATATTTTAAATTAATTAATGTAAATTTTTTATCATTTTATATTTTTTTATATTTATAAAACTATTTAAAATATTATGTATATCATCATTTAATAATATGTATTTTAGAAATTGAGTTTGTATAATGAGTATCATTATATCATTTAGCGTTTAATGATATACATGATTATCATTTAAAATAAATTATATTATATATATATATATATATATATATATATATATATATGATATATATATATAATATATATATATATTTCTATATATATATATATAATATATATATATAATATATATAACTATAATATATAATAAATATAAAAATATATATATATTTGAATTAAATATTGAATATATTAATAGTATATTATTGATTATATAAATATTATATTTTCATAGAGGACCATGTCATCATTAATTCTATTTAAATTATTATAATTAGCATAAAATAAAATATTTTTAATAATAATTTAATATTTTAAATAATATTATATTAAATTAAATAAAATATTATAATATTTTATTAAATATTATATTATTGAAATATTATATTAAATATATTGTTTGTATATTATATCACTTATTATATGATATGTCATATTATTATAATATATTATATTAACTTATTTAATAACATTAAATATATTTGTAATTAATTAGCACTTATAATATAATATATTATAGTTTAGTATAAAGTAAAATAATATATTACATTATAATAACATACCAAATAATATGCTAAGCAATTAGGTAAATTAATTTAGACTTAATTGATAGATAAATATTGTACTTTAATAATGTGCCACATCATCAATTATCCCACATGAATTATCAAATCAAAACTTCAAATTGTCCCATTATCCTAAATTGTCCCACTTCACACCACTCAAAATATCCCAAAAGGATAAAATTTTTCAATCGGAACAATTATCCCACTTAGTTCCAACTTATCCCAACCAATAACCCCGCACCTTATAGCCAATTTCACAAGAATCCAAGAACTCCCCTATTCAATGGGCTAACCAGAATCATGCTCCTTGTACGAATCACTTGTCACTCAAAATTCACATAAGTCTGAAAGAAAACATTTTACCCAAAACAAAGCGAGAAACAAAGCTAAAATTTCTTTAAATATATAATTGGACAAGCAAAAGTCCGCAGAAGGAGCAACTGATGCATGTTATATATAGAACAGATGTCGGCTTCATAACAAATGTGCTCTTGAAGTTTCAATTGTAGCTCATTTCATAGCCAACTTAGGGTACACATTTTAACTTATTTTCAAGAAGCAACCTTGGCGGCAGCAGATGCATAGCTCACGCTGCTGTCCCTCATGCTTTTGCACTGGCTGGACTGCTCGTATCTCAGGAAACCGATCTTTACTTTTGTCGAGCAGTTCTTTAACATCTGTCGATGAAAATGGGTATGAGATGGCAGCTCCTATCCAATATACCCTATAAATAGAATAAATATAGAGGGGGGGGTGGGCGGGGGGGGGGGAATAAACGAGAAGGGTTTTGAAAAGAGTAGATGGAGGAACACGCCGATGGGATGTCGTCCACATATGGTGTTGTCAAATTCACGAAGATATCGTTTAAATGCATCGGGATCTCCAGTCTCTATGATGTCCATACCCATGCGATCGAGGGCCTCAATGGACTTGTAAATGGCACCTTGCTTCTTGTCATAGTGTGTATAGTTGAACCTACCAACAGGAGGCGTGTTCATGTGAAAATTTTGGTTTCAGCTATTAAAAGCACATCCACGAAAAATCAAACGCGCTTTCATTATCAAGAATCTCTAGATGTCCAGGTGATTTAACTGATAAAACACCTTGAGCAAATGACCGACGAATGATACGAGTTACATGTGAATAGCATACCTAGCTCCCCAGTGGCAGAAGTCTGATGATACAGAGAAGAAGTTCTTAGGGTCGTCCACATACTTCGCCAGCAACTTTCCATACATGGCCTCACTTTCTGCACTAAGAGCACCAACCAAAATAGGTACAATTTTTACTGGATAACTGCATAATAAACCACACTAATTAGTCACCATTATGAAGTAAAAAAAAAATAAAAAAGGAAAGAAATAGCCTTATGCTTAGGGCATCTCCAACCCATCGCACCAAAATGGTGCAAATTTTGCACCAAAATGGTGCAAAAGTCACATCTAACAGTAATTCATCTCCAACCCACTGCACCATTTTTTGCACCAAAAAGGAATATTCTCAGTATCTTTCTTTTTATCTACTTTTATATTATTATTTTTTATTCCCTATATTTTTAACTATTTCAACAATTAACCCCACATATCAAATTTTATTTTTTCACATATTTTCCAAACAAAATAATTTATTATTTAAAAAATTAAACTAATAAAACAATAAAATATTATTTTATTAATTAAAATAACTTGATTGCTAAAATATTATATTTTTATTATTGATATTGCCAAAATATTACATTCAAGAACACACCAGAAAATAAAATACAAGAAAATAATTAAACATTAACAACAATATAAAAATTACAAATTTAGTGTGCACTTAACTATCTGAATTAGTGTATTCCTCCCATAGATGATCTATCAATGCATTACGAAGCGCAATATAGGCATCTTTATCCTTGATTTTTCCGTAACGTGTAATAAATTGAGTAAATCTTGTAGTTTCATCTGCTACCATATCAACTTCTGGTGTTGGTGCTTCCCTCACTTCTTGAATTGGTGCATAAAGATCACGTTCATCCTCGATTATCATATTGTGCATAATAATGCATGCAGTCATTATGTCATGTAATACATGTTTTTTCCAAAAACGTGCTGATCCTGCCACGATTGCAAATCGTGATTGGAGAACTCCGAACGCACGTTCTACATCTTTTCTACATGCTTCCTGTTTCATGGCAAAATATTTTTTCTTCCTACCTTGTGGCTGTTGGATTGTTTGTACAATAGTAGCCCATTTCGGATATATACCATCAGCTAAATAATAACCCATATTATACTCTTTTCCTTGAATAACATAGTGAGCGGGAGGAGCAATACCTTGAGCTAGGTTAGAGAAAAGATTAGATGACTCCAGCACATTGATATCATTATTGGTGCCTGACATACCAAAATATGCGTGCCATATCCAAAGATCATAATCTGCCACAGCTTCGAGGATAATAGTTGGTGACCCACTACGTCCTGTGTATTGCCCAGACCATGCTGTTGGACAATTTTTCCATTTCCAATGCATACAATCAAGACTTCCTAACATTCCTGGAAAACCACGTTGTTGGCCTTCTTGTTTTGATGATGATTTACAAACAATTTACTACTAATGTTGTTTGTCTAGTATTTGTGCATTCCCATGTTTTGTAGACAAACAACGTAGTTGGAGGATGGATGGAATAGAGCTTCAACGATCAAATTCTGATGCGCATTTTCTCGATCGCGGTTGATCACTGCATGACCGGGAATCGAGCCACCATGGATCGGTTGGTAGTTGTGTTGACGTAAATTGTTAACGAGGATCATGTTGTTGTTGATGTACTCACAAATTACTTCTTCGGTTTCATCAATCTCTGCAATGATATTGGACAGAAAATTATCATCATCCGAAGATGAAGATGATGATAAGTATGATGGACCTCCAACATCGAAATTCATTTTTGAAGTAAGAAAAGAATGACTGAAGTATGCAGAAATGGAGAATAATAATTTTAACACAACAATGAGTAATTGTGTGGATGTACCTAATCTAGTATGCTATTTATAAAACTTTGCTTAGCTGTATACATTGAACAATGTGTAAAGTTGAGCTGATTTTAGGAAATGCTTTCCAGCTGTTATCAATTTGTCACAAAATTCAAATTTGCTTTTAGCTGTATACGTTGGATAATGTGTAAAGCTGACCTGATTTCAAAAATTGATTCCCACTCGTACAAAGCTTTCACACAATTCAAGGAGAGCTGAGCTGTGTATACGTTGGACAATGTGTAAAGCTGACCTGATTTCAAAAATTGATTCCCACTCGTACAAAGCTTTCACACAATTCAAGGAGAGCTGAGCTGTGTATACGTTGGACAATGTGTAAAGCTGATCTGATTTCAAAAATTGATTCCGACTCGTACAAAGCTTTCACACAATTCAAGGAGAGCTGAGCTGTGTATACGTTGGACAATGTGTAAAGCTGACCTGATTTCAAAAATTGATTCCCACTCGTACAAAGCTTTCACACAATTCAAGGAGAGCTGAGATGTGTATACGTTGGACAATGTGCAAAGCTGTCCTGCTTTCAAAAATTGATTCCCACCGACAACGTTGGATAATGTGTAAAGCTGATCAGTTTGTACAAAATGATTCAATTTCAAATGTTGACCACCGACAAATTCAAACCAACCGCAAATTCAAATTCAAATTCAAATTCAAATTCAAACAAAAAAAACAAATTTGGATTGGCTATAAATAACATTCACGGTTTCTACTTCAAGCCACCCAATTCGAAGTATTTCTTCAAAGTATTTCTAATCTCCAAACCAACCGCTTTTTACAAAAAAATATCAGTTCGATCAACTGGATACATGGTTACTAAAGATGTGCTCCTTTGTTAAGTATTCTTGGATATTTCTCAAGACCCTATTATCGGTAGAAACCAGTCTCGAGATGCATTTTGGTCTCGTGTGGAGGACAAATACAATGAACTTCGAGATCAGCATTTTGAGATGCGTACGAGCCGATCAATTCGTTCTCGAATGGAAATCATAAGTAATGAAGTAAGGAAATTGAATGCGTGCTTGAGACAAGTAGAGAATCTGAATCCAAGTGGTGCTTCAGATGAAGATATTGTAAGTATTCTATTAATTATCGTTTGAATTTTATTATTATTGTTGAAATACATAACTTGATGTTCACTATAATTTGCAGTTAGTTCGAGCAAAGATGTTATTTATGCAAGAACCAAAGTACAAAAAAGGTTTCAAATTTGATCATGTCTGGAATATGGTTAAAAATTTCGAAAAATTTAAAGATGATGTCCCCACAGCAAGACAAGTTGGTCGAAGACAACCCCAAAGTGTGAACTTCGACTCGTCACAATCAGATAATCCCACTCCGGAATCTCCTATATCAACATCTCCTGGACTGTCATCATTTACTCCATCTGAACGACCTATTGGGGTAAAAAAAGCTAAATTGAAAAGGAAAAATGATGATCATGAGTCAAGTGTAGTGGACTCCATCGAGACCTCCAACAATCGACTTATAGACAGGTTAGACAAGGCGAGCTTGGACAGGCATGTAGCATTTGATATCGAACGAGAAAAGATAGCTATGAAAAAAGATAGAGATGAATGGAAAATTATAATGAAAGATTTGAATTCCATTGCTGATCCAAACGTGCGGGAGTACGTTCGAGCTCAACAGATTAAAATAATACAAAAAAGAAATCAACAAGAACAAGGGTCTGCTTCTAATTTTGGCAATTATTTCAATGATATTGGACACTCTGGCCCCGATCTACCAGATTATTGAGAGTTGCTTGTCCATCTCAGGAAATGTTCCATGTTTAGTTTGTATTTTATGTTTTATTTTAATGAAGTTTTATATTATGCGTGTCAGTTTTTATATGTTATGTATTTCAGATATGTAATTTATATTTGAATTATGTATTAGAATTGCTCTTTATATTTCATGGGACTTTACTTAATGTCTAGATTTTAATATTATAATTAATAATAATGTCTTTAAATTTTAGCATTATTTTTATTTTTAAAAAATAATTTATTTTGTCTAAATTATACAATTGGGGTAAAATTATAAAATTTAAATATTATTGGGGTTGTTTTATACATTTAATAAAACAATTGGGGTCAAATTGTAAATACATAAAAGTATGAGATCAAAAAAAAAAAATTGAAAAAAAAAAATTTAAATGAACAGTAATGCGGAGATGAACAGTGCGACGCCAGATATAGCGTCGCGCTGTTCATCACCGCTAAAATGGCGCACAAAATGGCGCTTGGTTGGAGACTGATCGCAGCGGCAAAATGGGGTTTTGCGGCAAAATGGGGCACGGTTGGAGATGGTCTAACTACTCACCCATGAAACACTTTGGCAAGGTACGGCAAGTGCATTTCCATGCTATGTTCGGCTTCATCAACGTGAAGATCCATGAGTTCAAACTTACCTGTCGAGTAAAGCTCCTCATTGACTGCACAATATGAGGATGCAAAATTCAGACTGATAAACAAGTATACATCATCAAAAAAAAAAAAAAACATCCGAAACAAAAAAGGGAGAGAAACAATGAGCATCACACCCAGGCTCCACTGGCATCGAGATCAATAAGGAACGTCACATCAAGTCATCTACTTGTATCATTCATCATCCTGCTTTTCATGGAATTCATATTTGACAAAATGCAATAAAATAGGGGAACATCACACCAAATAGGACATAATCGTGACTAGAAGCAATATGAAGAGAGAACAGACACTAAGATCCAAATTTATCATTATCAACCTTCTATATCGAATGCATACTTGACAAAATACAAAGCAATAGCGGGAATCTATCCAAATGAAGTCCATGAAAATAAGACTACAATGTCTTGTGATATGTACCTTCCGTATCAATTGGCAAATCCCCCAGAGGTGTACTATAAATAGAGGTCCTGGTAAGAGCACATTTTGGAGTGTAATAGTGATGAGACGGACCGAGAAGAAACACCCGGGAACTGAAACAATGAAGAATCACATATCAGCAATACCGTGATAAAGAGCATAAAGACTGAAACAAGATCATCATTCTAAAACACTCTTCATCAGTAAATAAAGCACATGACATGAGTAGCCATCTTCACAATAAGCTTAGAGAAGAATGTTCAAAGCTCATTGGCTACCTCCAATTTTCTATTTGACAACCAGAAATCCAAAATGATAGTCACATCCTAAAATAACAAATTATTATCCTACATAAAGTACCCACTTTAGAAGAAGTGCGAGCTATACTGAATTTTCAGATCAATATACAGCATATGAATTTTATCTTCATAAATTTAAAGATTTTTTTAAAATAGTGTTTTGTTTATTTCTCTATATATTTATTTATTTATTTTTGCTAGAAGAACCATGAGTCATGGCGGACGGTGACATGGTTAATGGTCTACTGGACATATATAATAAGCAATGAGGCAATCAAAATACTCCCTTGAGGATTTAAATCCAAGCAATTTTAGCAGAAATGAAGTCAAAAATCTTTTTACATGTGCATCCATACATCTATTCGACAATTTGGTAACATATTAGTTTTTTAAAAAACTTCACATCTATTTCAAAAAAAATTCCTACAGTTGCATCTCAATATTACTATCCATGTTACCTTCTAAGGCACCAAAATGTGTATTACTACGTCTGATTATTCACTGTGCATGAGAAGGCACTAGAGAAGAGATCTATCACAACAACGTATAGATTTTTGCTTTAATGCATTCCTCAAAATACAGTATACCAGGCTGCGTCCTGCTCAGCCATTGCTAATTTCTCATTTGACTATTTAGGTTTTAAATTATATGCATAAGCATGTACAGTGGAGAAAGCAAGTGTAAATACAGAATGCAACGGTTCAAAGCAAAACCATTCTGACGGTTCAACATACACAACACAGAGAAAAACTGAACCATAAAATATTATATCCTGTTAAACATCCACAAAATCATGAATACCAGTTTATATTTGTGTTGGAAATAAAAACAAGAAAATGATGAAATTTCTGGAAGGAATAAAAAAAATTTAACTGACATATTCGTCGGGTCAATGTTCCCAAATGCATATGCTGCTGCACGGCCTGAGTATGAATAGCCAGCATGCCTGTAATTTCAATAGCTAACACCATCATAAGATTGATAACTTCTGTAACAACCCAGTATGATAAACGCAACACATGGAAATTAAATGAAAACAGGGTACGTTTGCTGACTCACGGAGCAATAACACCTCTGACGTCAGGAGATTTGGTCAGACCACATGATCCAAGCCACCCCTCAAGTTCTTCTTCCAGCTGCTTAGCTGATTACAATTTATGGAAGCAAAATCAGAAAAGGTACTCATAATAATAGGAAAGTGTTAGGAACAGAAGCCCTCCTGGTCCACGAGCCATAATTTCATTTAGCACACCTGACTGCTACTCCCACCAACCGGGATTCCGAAACGATTGTCTAACGAGAATGAGACTTTGGAGGTGGGAATATGCATTGACTATATCTCACTTGTTGGCTCTTGATCAGAGAATTGGGAACTTTTTCCAACGTCAATAAACTAGGGAGGGTTCCATTTTATCTCACCTACAAATTCTACGGGTGAGCAAACGCTACATGAAAGTTGCTGCTCTTTTAACATGGATGTTCGTATCAAAGAGAGTTTGTTTCGGGCTTATCTCAATCCCTCAGCAAAAATTTCAAATGTTCTACCCCCATTATAATCACAATCAAATGCAACATCACCGACTAACTACATAATCCAACCACCCAGCTCGTAGAAATATCAATTCCTATTACAATTTACTTTGATAACCAATTGATCAATGAAAATTTCACCAATTCCGCTGCTTTCGGATCCAAATCGATAAATTAAATTTAAAAAAAAACCATAAATTTATGCAACTGATGCGGAAGGATGAAACTCACCGTTGTTGGAGTACCAGGATCCAGCATGCGATGCCCTTCTGATCCTTTCCATCGACGAAAAAATTAAGGAAATAAAAAAAAGAGACTGAAGATCGAAAGCTTAAAAACCCTAGTTTCCGAATTTGAGGAGAAATTGGGAATTGGGTTTGTTTGGTGAAGGAAGTTGGGGCTTTTGCAAGGCAAAAACTGGCTCTGGAAAGTTGGGGCTGAGAGAGGGGGCCCACCTCGGATGGAATAAAGAATCAGGACACGTGTCGAATATTTAGACACGTTGTATGGGGTTATCTCGTGTTTGGAACTCCACATGACTGCTTTTCATTAGCGGGCCTCGTAAAAGTGAAGCCAGCTGCGTAGGGGGCCCGCTAGTCTACGCTGTTATTAATTTGGCCCGGAAGATATCGGACTTAAGGCCCACAGGAAACGACACAGGGAAAAGTATTATTAGGCCCACTTTTAAGATGCATAAAGCCCTCACCTCTCTGCTCTAAAAAAATGAAAAACAATACTCTTGCAAAAACAATAGGAAAAATATTCACATTTCCCTCTGTCAAAACCCCTGTTCATTAGATATAAAAGAGCACGGTATGTTACTTAGAAATACGGTATTTTGCTATAAAAAATTCTGGATAGCCCGGGTCAAAGGTGGTTACTGCTTATGCATTTTAAATTAGTTATTACTAATCGTGAACACCGTGTAAAGCACGACATATCATTTTTTAACCCACTATAGTAATCAAGATTTTTTAAATGCTGCAGTAATTTTTTAAATTTTTTTGAATTGTTACCGTTCCGTCGTGTGCTGCAGAGATATTTTTTCAAAAGTGCTACAGTATCTAATTTTCTGTTTCTTACAATAATAATACTACAGTAAATATTACTGTAGTTCGAATAATGAATCATGAGTTCTCTCATTTGTAAAGAGGAGTAGATATACAAATACTTTGTAACCGAATACAAAAAAAATGAAAAACAATACTCTGGTAAAAACAATAGGGAAAATTTTTCACAATTCCCTCTGTCAAAAACCCTATTAAAGGATTAAATTAGCAACATAATTAATTCCCGAAATGAGAAAATTTTCCCTTTCCTCTCCTGCTCCTTTCCTTGTTGATCGTGTCTCTTCGCCTCTACTCTTTTTATTATCAGCTCTGATGCCCCCGCAACCTTGAAGACGCTGCCAACGTGGCATCGCATCATTGGCCGCCCCCCTCAACTCGCGTATCTCTGCCGGCACAGCTACAGCTCACGAGAAGAAATTTACGAACACCCACGTCGACACACTTTCCTCTGGGTCCCACTTGTCAGAGAAACGACGACGCAAATCGGATCGGGTGCAGTGTATTAGGAACTGGGTCCCGAGGCGGAGGATGAATTTAGCGAAGTTTCGGGATTAGGGTTTTGTATTTGCTGCCGTATATTTGTCTCTCTATAAATTTGCATAAAGGAAAGGGGGCAAAAAAAAAAAAAAAAAAAAATCTCTCTATAAATTTGCATAAAGGAAAGGGGGCAAAAAAAAAAAAAAAAAAAACCCTAATGTTTCTCAAGCGGAGGAGCTAAATTGAGCGGACTGAGGAGGAGATATCTCCGGATTAGTCTTCATTTGGTCTGCTGTGAGTTAATTTCTCCACGTTTGGCTTATTTTTGTGGTTAAAATTATATTTTTCGATGAAAGATTGTATTTTGTTAGGTGGGTTTTGAGATTGAAAAACAACTTATTTACTGGTTGAAACTAATTGTTAATGTTTAAATTTGTTTAGGTGTTTTTGGTTGATTAGTGAAGGAAAGGAGTGCCCTTTTTGCTGATTCATAGGTATAGATTCTCTTTTTGAGCTGTCCTTCTTTGGTTAGTGAAGGAAAAGTAGGGATCTTTGTGTGAATCAGTTTGTTTCCAGGTGAATTAGGCGAGTCAAGGAAAACCAATTCATTAATAAATTTAAAAAAAGTTTTTTTTTACTGGTTTTGGATCTTTCTGTGGAATCATTTTGTGAGTTGGGGAATGGGGAAGCCAACTACTAAGAAGAAGAAGCAATCCAGTGCCAAAACAATTGAGTCTAGCTCGAGACACAGTCGCCCTGTCGATCACACCCCTAAGGTGTTTGATGAAGAAACCTCAATCTTTATCGACATGTCTCATGACTTAAAAGAAGAAGGCAACAGATTGTTTCAGAAGAAAGACTATGAAGGTGCCACTCTCAAATACGAAAAGGCCATCAAGCTACTTCCTAGGAATCACATCGATGTTGCCAACCTCCGAAGCAATCTTGCTTCATGCTTCATGCAAATGGGCCCTGGAGGTTACCAGCAAGCGATCAACGAGTGCAATTTAGCCCTTGAAGTCTCTCCTAAGCACACAAAAGCTCTTTTGAAGAGGGCGAAGTGTTATGAATCTTTGAGCTGGTTGGGTTTGGCCCGTAGAGATGTTGGTTCGGTTTTGGCTTTGGAACCGAATAACCTCACAGCTTTGGAGATTTCAGAGAGGATCAAGACGACGATGGAGCAGAAGGGGATCAAGTTAGATGATAAGGAAATGATTTTGCTCCCAGAAATTACGGCCACAAAGGAAAAGGTGGGTAAGAGCAAAAATAGAAAAAAGAAGAGTCATAAGAGAGAAGAGAAGGTGGTTGAGGAGGTGAAGAAGTTTGATAATAGTAAGGATAATACTGTCAAAAAGGAAGAACCGATGAGACCTGTGAAATTGGTTTTTGGGGAAGATATAAGATTTGCTCAAATACCTGGTAATTGTAGTGTATCACAGTTGAGGGAGATTGTTCGCAATCGGTTTCCCAGCTTAAAGGCCGTGCTTATCAAGTTTAAGGATAAAGAAGGTGATTTGTTGACGATTACGACATCTGAAGAGTTAAGGTGGGCTGAAGAATCTGGAGATCCATTAGGATCTGTTAGGCTTTACATCACAGAAGTTGATCCAGAGCATGAGCCATCCTTTGATGTAGAAAGTAAAGGATCTGAAACTCAAGGATCAAATAGAAATATGAATGGTTTCTCTGAAAATGGGAGCATCAAACATGATGAGGAGAGTGCTGCCTCACCTTGCCTTGATACCTGGATCATTCAGTTCGCTGAATTGTTCAAGAACCAAATGGGCTTTGATTCTGATGCTTGTTTAGATCTTCATGAACTTGGGATGAAGCTATATACTGAGGCTATGGAGGACACAGCTACAAGTGAAGAAGCTCAGGAAATATTTGATGTTGCTGAGAAGAAGTTTCAGGAAATGGCAGCTCTTGCGTTGTTTAATTGGGGTAACATCCACATGTCCCGAGTTAGAAAGAGGATATTCTTGCCAGAAAGTGCTCCGAAAGAATCAATACTCGAACAAATAAAGTCATGTTATGAATGGGCCCGAGGAGAGTATGTAAAAGCTGGAAAGAGATATGAAGAGGCTTTGAAGATCAAGCCGGATTTCTATGAAGGCCTTCTTGCACTTGGTCAACAACAGTTTGAGCAAGCAAAGCTTTCTTGGTATTATGCTATCGGGAGCAAGGTAGATTTGGGTACTTGGCCATCAACCGAAGTTTTGGAGCTTTTCAACAATGCTGAGGATAACATGGAGAGTGGCACAGAGATGTGGGAGGAGATGGAGGAGCAACGCTTGAAGAACATCTTGAAACCCAACAAGGAGAAAGTGCTTTTTGACAAAATGGGTTTAGGTGCATTCTTTAAGGACTTATCTAATGATGAAGCCGCTGAACAGGCTTCAAGCATGCGTTCACAGATAAATCTTTTGTGGGGAGCTATCCTTTATGAGCGATCAGTTGTAGAATTCAAACTAGGGCTTCCAATATGGGAAGAGTGCCTCATGGCAGCTGTGGAAAAATTCAAGCTGGCAGGAGCTTCACCCACTGATCTTGCTGTTATGATAAAGAACCATATTGCCAATGAAACGACCCAAGAAGGTAATACAATGTTTTTTTTATTTTTGTGGCAATATATTTTCCCTCATGCTTAGAAGAAGAAAGCAGTAACGTTTACCAAGGACTAATTTTCCATGGGTAAGAGTTGATTTCACATCTGCATCTATAATTATAATTATGTCTTTTCAAATGTAACTATAATTATGTCTTTTAAAAAAAATGTAGATATCACCAGCCGTATAGGCATCCAGTTGCTAACACATAACTGCTCTTATGATATTAATGTTGAATCTTAGGTTCTAAGTTTTATTTTAATAGTAGTTTTAGGCTCCAACAACTATTAGCATGCAAACTCGTCCAAATGCTCATATATTTACGGTGTCAATTCTTTAGGATACCTGGCACTAGTAGAACTGCGCAATCGGTGTCCATGCAATGCCCTATACTGTGATCACTATTCCTACTGATATTATGAAGTAGATACTTCTTTTAATTTATTGCTATTTATTACCAAAAACTTTTATTGTACCACCAATTCATGGAGAAGCAACCAGCATACGAATGAATATAATGGCCTTTTGGTTAATGTGGACATAGCTCAAACTTAAAGAACAGCATTTATTCCAAACAAGAGGCTGAGAGAACATTAGGTAGAATTATTTCCTTATGATTTGAAGATGGAGTCCGGGACCAGTTTTGAATTTGTAATGTGACTCCAGTTAGAATCCACTTCTCCAAGTATGATTTTATATTGTATGGGTACTTCGGTTACTTTAGATGGCACTGAGGAAATCATTACCCGAAGTACCTTAACCAATTTTTAAAATAGATTCCCAAGGCAGTGATTGGCAAGTTAAAGAATTTTCTCATATTGCAGGTGTGGGCTTCAAGATTGATGAAATAGTTCAGGCTTGGCATGAAATGTATGATGCCAGAAGGTGGATAGGTAGTATTCCATCTTTTAGGCTTGAACCTTTATTTCGAAGGCGAGTGCCAAAACTGCATAATATATTGGAGCACATGTGAGTCTAGTGGAAACTGATTGTCACAGCGGTGTTATTTTCTGCGTGGGTGCTCGAGGTGTGCGTGCTGCTGATTTGTTTAGGTAATTTTATTGCTTTGTTTGATCATTATCTCCTGTGCTTTTCATTTAGTTTCGTTTACTTAGTTAATTTGAGCCTCTCGAGTTAGCTTTAATACATCCAGGTTTGGAATTCAATTATTGTTCGATACAACCCCAACTCTTTGCCTGATCCACCTTTGCTTATCTCATTGACTGAAGAAAAGAATGTGATATTCTGTAGATTCTCAAGGGCCTTATTGTTTACTTCACTGTATGGCACTAAAGTAAAATATAGTATGTGCAATCAAATATTTCTTCATTGCACTAAAGTAAAATATAGCATGTGTGATCAAATATTGTTTCATTGGTTGCTATTATTTATGTCATCTAACATACGATTTCCATGATTTTCATGGTGAAATCTAAAGCTGGAACTTCACTTTATTGGCCTTATCATCCTAAGATTGTAATTTTCCTTGTTATGAGACAAACTTTTCACCTAACTGGTAGCCAAACCAACAAGCATATTCAAGTTTTGTAGTTTCTAAAGTGTACGCTTAGTTATTGCGATTTTCTTATTGCTATAATGCCTATACTGCCTGGTGATGCATAGTAAGATCTTCACCCCCTCAAATATGGATTGCGTTTGTAAATTGTAACTATAAACTCTATAATATTAACGTGTCAAGATCTAATAAGTTCAGATGATGTTTATGTTGCAGGAGTTTGGAAAGTAAATGTTGACATTTATGTCGCCTTTTTCTGATACAAGATATATCTCTGTTGGGATTTATGTTGCCATTTTCAGAAATAGAAACAATAGATTTTTAGTTCAAGGAGTATATTATTCATTTGTTACCTCGTCTTCCTTTCCTAATGGAAGTTTTTTGTTACACACTTGCAGGTCTGTTGCTGTGTTGGTCTTACGACAAGTTTTGTGTGCTTTTTACAAAGAATAGCAAGAAATTATTAGATGTCATTGGTCATACCCGTGCGACTATATACTATACATATCATTCATGGCTTGCATTGGGTTACGAGAACCTTATGCAGCATTGTTATTTTTTCCTTCTATTCATTTTTTTTAATACCCAGAAGCGCAAACGACTTGTGGGTCTCTCTCTACTTTTGTTTCAGAGGTGAAAACGATATCGAGCTTGATTGTTTTCCTCTTAATATCTGGTGATGATATGTTAGTGTCTACCCCCTCCATATTGAATGATCGAAAACACTTGGGTAGTGATTGCCTGTTGTTATTCCTGTCATGCCTGATAAATTAACATCGGGTTTGTACTGTTGTTAGTGTTTGTAAAACATCAATATCAATGGTTGAAAAGAAAATTTGAAATGTTTTAATGATGTATCTGTTTTCTCTATGATAACTTTTGCAGGTTGTGAGAGACTTGGAATGTGTATCTTTTGGTAGTATATTTGAATTCTTTCGGTTTGTATTGCATGTTACCTGCTGATCGCCTTTGGTACCTGTAGTGATAACTGGCCCTTATTCTATTCATCTGTTGTCTTTTTTTCAGAGAAATTCGTGCGCCAAATATTGAAGTAGTCCTTGATGAACTTACTGTTTCTTTGTGTCAAAGTTCCTCTGATGACCCACTTGCGTGTGATCTTTATGTGAACCCTCTTTACCTTGGCGAGACAGTTATATTAATTAATGAATCTTGCAAAGGTCAGAAAAAGATAATTTTGTTTACTTTTCAAGTTGGATTTAGACTTAGGGGCTGTTACGTTGGCGTTGGCTGGGCTGAGAAACTATGAAAAGGAAATCAAAACATCAGACATACCCATGTGAAGGTGTTTGATTTCCTTTCTTGTGTTTGGTTGAGAGAGGGAAAAAAATGTTGTGCTTGTGGGATTCACTCACTAGTAATATAATAGTGCCATGAGTTCCAAATTTAAGGAAACTCGTTTCCTCTAAAAAAATCATGAAATGTGCTTGAAAAATATAAAAACGGGTCCCGCAATCTATTTCCCATGAGCAATCTCACAAACTTAGGTTTCTAGGAAATAAACCAAACAGCCCGTTAGACCCTTAAGCAACTGTATTTCATGTGTTTATATCTTCTTCTATGCATCTAAACAAATTTAAATTTAAGGGAAATGGGAGATATTTATTTTCGTTCGCACAAGCCTTTTTCAGATCTTATGAATACTTCTCTTCTCTAAATTCGGCGTTACATGTTCCTAAAGCTAATGTCACCGTTTCATACTATTGATTGAGTCTTAAATTGTGGGATTTAACAAGGGGAGGTGTTATATCGATCATGAATAAATTATAAATTTAATTTTTCCTTCTGAGACGTGTAGCATAAAAAACACTTTTACCTTAGTAGAGTAATTTGACTTTAAAAAATAAATTAGTAAAAATATAATAATAATAAGAGGAGAAAACTGAAAACCTCATTGACCGAAGTTTTATTTTTTGCTTGAAGCTTTGCTATAGGGATCAAAAATATGGGATCAACATGAGGGATATGTGAGGTGTCCGCCACCTATTGCATAATGAGCTGACCTGATGGCCAGCTCATTATGCAATAGGAAGGGGACACCTCACATGTCACCCTGTTGATCTCATATTTTCGGTGTTGGTGGAATTCTTCTTTTGCTTTGAGAACCCCTATTGGCCAAAGCTCAAAGACTTTTGACTCCAGAGATCTCATAAAACACATGAGCAAGCAAAACGTACGGCCAAATACAGGGAAGTCTCCTCTCTCCCCTCCAAATATACGTAGAAACTGAACAACAGGAGAGAAATCTTTTTGTACTTCATCAGCGTCAGGGATCCCGAGATCTAGCTTCTCAAAAATCTCAATCTCAAAGATTTTCTGACCATCTCATTGGAAGACAGATTCAGGAAGACCCATTTGGTTCTTATCTCCTATCCAAAATCTCAGGTGCCCTCTCTTGTATCATACGTACTCCAATCTTTAGTTTACCCAGTCAAAGATCCGATCTTTTTTTTTTCTCGCTTGAAAAGGGGGAAGAAAACAAGAGATTTTTGGTTCTGTTGCCCTCCGAGATCAAGTTTTCGTACATACTCATTGAAAGATCTTGCTGTTATACAAAGAAAGATTAAAATTTTCCAGTGAGAGATCTCAACCCATATTCTCTTCTTCAGTAAATTTCGATTCTTTTTTTTTTTGCTCCGATCTAAGTCTCTGAAACCCTTTCAAGATCAAAATTTGATTATAACCCATTGAAACCTGCTGCTTTTCTCAACACCCATGTGATTTTTTTTTCCCATTAAGAAGCAATGAACAGTAACTACGCTGCCGTCCCTGTGAATTCTTCCATAGAACTCCAGAACCAAAACAATGCGAACTCAGCTGAAACCCCTAATGGAAAGGTTCAGTCTACAGAATTCACCGGTGGTGGAGAGTACACGGATGGATTCGACGAGATAGATGAGCTTCCCCTCATCAATGATGGAGATGTCGAGCATGAAACCCCTGGTTCTGGAGTTCCCGGCGCTGTCTTCAACCTCGCTACTACTGTCATAGGTGCAGGAATCATGGCTCTTCCGGCTGCAATGAAGGTTCTCGGTATCGGGTTGGGTTTCGCTTTAATAATCCTAATGGGTATTCTATCTGAGATCAGTATTGAGATCCTTGTTCGGTTCGCTGTTCACTGCAAGTCCACTTCCTATGGAGAAGTTGTAGAATCTGCTCTTGGCCGTACAATGAGAGTTATCTCAGAGATTTGCATAATTATCAACAATGCAGGTGTTCTGGTTGTATATCTCATCATAATTGGGGATGTAATGTCTGGATCGGATGCGCACATAGGTGTATTCGATCAGTTGTTTGGACACGGTTCATGGGATCATAGGAGCATGCTGATTCTTGTAGTGTTGATCGCCTTCTTGGCCCCGTTATGTGCATTGAAGAAAATCGATTCCCTAAGCTTGACTTCAGCTGCCTCCGTTGCCCTTGCACTTGTTTTCGTTGTAGTCTCATGTGTAGTTGCTTCCATCAAACTTGCAGAAGGGACTATTGAAAAACCGAGAGTTGGACCTGATTTTGGGAGTAAAGCTGCAATCTTGGATCTTTTAGTGGTTATCCCAATCATGACCAATGCCTATGTTTGCCATTTCAATGTTCAACCGATATATAATGAGCTTGAAGGGCGATCACCTGAAAAAATGAATCGGGTTGGAAGAACCACAACTGTTTTATGCATCGCGGTCTATGCTGCGACTGCAATCTCAGGATACTTGTTGTTTGGAGATAACACGGAGTCCGATGTGCTGACAAATTTTGATAGAAATCTCGGAGCGCATTTTAGTATGGTACTGAACTATATAGTTCGGGTTGGATATGTTCTTCATCTGATTCTTGTTTTTCCCGTGATACATTTCTCTCTCAGGCAAACAGTAGTTGCTCTGGTATTCACAAAATCGGTTTTGGATGATAGGAAGAAGTCACTGCCGTTGACCGTTGTACTGTTGGGGGTTATATATCTTGCTTCTACTGTGATACCGAACATTTGGGTTGCTTTCAAGTTTACAGGAGCCACAACTGGTCTCTCGTTAGGGTTCATATTTCCGGCGCTCATCGCATTGAGATTAGATAAGCAAGGGAAGAGTCTGACTCGAGGAGAGAGGAGCTTGTCATGGTTCATGCTGGTGTTGGCTGTAGTTGTTAGTATCATAGGAGTTGCAGGAAACATCTATAGCATCAAGAACAAGTCTTGATTAGTTTCAGGTTTCGTACTTCAAAATCTGCGGTTGTATTCTTTTGTGACACTTGGGTTGTGTTCCCACGATGAAACCATTTGTGTGGTTTCTGAGTTCTCATTGCGAGAAGAAGAGTTCGTAGGTTGAAGAATACATAGCGTTAATTCTTTTAGTTGAATACTTATCGTATGTAACATTCCATTTTGAAAATGCTTCTAGTTAATAAAAATTTCCACTGCTTTGGCATGACTGCATTTGTTTCTCCCTTAATTGCTTACTTGGTTCATTTTTTCTCAAATTATGAATACTATTTTCCATTGATACTTGTATTGAAATGTAATATGATTGTTCAAATTCAATATTTAGGCGAAGGTAAGAGATTAAGTTATTCGGTCGAATACTTATTATTTTCATATTTATTATTATTTACTTAATTATAATAAATGATGGTGGTGACAGTGTAATAGCTCAATTGTATTCGAAGTTCCACATCCAAATTATGCAAGCCTAAAAACAAAATTTGAATCCCTTAAGGTTGGCTGAACAAGTTAAAACATATTGAGAAAGAAAAGAAATTAAAACTTTAACAATACAGGGTACTAGTGATAAAACCCTGAATTTTGTCTCAGAGGGGGTTGCAACATAATTTTTTGCTTCTAGTGAAAGCAAAACCATATGAGCAACTGAAGAAGTATTGGACGTTGCTACACCATAAAACAACACATCCAAAGTTTTCATATTTATCAACTATTAAGCCACAAATTATTCCATCACCAAAAATATTCACAAATTATGTTACAAATGATCATGCTGGTAGTCAGTGTAACTTTTTTTTTCCTTGCATAAGCATGTGATTTAATTATGTTATTTCTTCCTTTACGAGGTTTGCCTTTTTCGGCTATTCTGGCTCAACTTGCACTGAGATGGTGCCGTTTTCCTTATCATTAAGAATGGGGTAGATAAAATAAAATTCATTGAAATCTTGTGATATAACGAACCCGTTGAGGCTGTTTTAGTTAGTTATCCTTGCAAACAGAAAAAATAAAAAAAGAAAGCTTTGTGTTGATGTATAAAATCACACAGTCAAATAAAAGAAGTTGATTAAGTTGATGGAGATCCTCAAACCCTCCGAATGTCTAGTTCTTGAGCAAATTGTTCTTCCCTGCACAAGTAGCAAATCGTAAGAGGGCAAGGTCTACCTCCCCGATTGTTCCTCCGACGATCAAGTCAGTGATTTGCTTAAGTAAAGAAGTAAAATGAACTGCAGTAGTTCTTAAGCTCAGAGAGTAGTAGTAAAAAGCTTACCCTGTAATTGAAAATAGTATTCCTTTTTATAGAAGTGACAGGAGGGTAGAAGGGTAACTTCAACCGAGTATGGGATGACGACCATGTCAGCCTCAGCTTTACAGGTGTCGGCCGACGAGTGGAGAAGAGGTGTCACTTTAGTGTTTAATGCGAAGTGATAGGGGGTGTGTGGTGCCGACGTGATCGATGTGCCATAAATACTTTTGGGGGCAGAGGAAAGATGATGCTCACAATGCATTTAAAGGCATTTATTGCAAGGTTATTGGTCACAAATGTACATGAGGGGGCTCGAGGCTCGAGGTATTTCGTCGCCTTTCTACTCTTCGGATGGTCAAAAAGTATCGCCTTTTGAGTTGCCCTCGCAAGATGTCGGCTGATTGGTCGGCCGAGTGGAGTGGTTAAGCAGTCGACTCAGCCAGGAGACGACACGTAACGCCTTTCGAGTCGTCGACATGTGACTGAGATTGAGAAATTTCAGGGTATCAAACGTCAAAGTTTTTTAGGTATCAAAGGCTAAGCAATTTTAGCAAACTAAAGCGAAAAAAAACCTAGACTACTTTTACAATGGGAAAAAAGAGTTAGCTGAAAAAATAGCTAGATATAAGAAAAGCCCCCTTAACTTTGGGTAATTATCAGACAACCTCCCTTAACTTTGAAAACATCAAGAAAACCTCATTAAGTTTATGGATTATCAGAAAAGCCCTTTTTAACCTTGATATTTTTTCAGAAACTCCCTAAAAAATGAATATTTTTGGGGTTCTTTTCTGATAAAATGTCAATGCTGAAGAGGAATCTGTAAAATGACCAAACGCAAATTTTGTGCTTGGTAGTGAGGTGTCACAATCACCTCCACACATTCAAATGGGGGACCACATTCACATGAGTTGAGGAGTGCATGAGGATATATATATAACAAATAAACTGAGCCTTAATTAGAAGTGAAATTCAGACTAAAAAATTCTTCATATTTTGCAAACACCATTAAAATAAGAATACATGTCTATTAATCAACCAAGCTAACATCACCAACTTTAATTGTTCAAGGTCATCCGGGGCTTACAAATAACAGTCACAAACGCTTATATACCCCCAAATATTTCAATAAGATTGATTTGCTGTTAACACTTTGTTAAAAATACACAGCTCACAACAACACCGTAACAAACGCAGCGGGTCCTCTTACAGAATGAATAATGAATGGTATTCTGGATCGAAGCACGCAAACCTTATAAGAAAGATGAAACGTTCACCGCAAGCTGAATCTCGTGCTGGCTTTTGTGTGAAATGTTGTGTGTATGCTTTTTATTCACTTATCAATGATCAGTCATGTGCCACCCACGTGAAGGAGAAAGGACAAACCAAAGAGAAACAGGTTATTTTTCTCATAAATTTTAATGGGGGAGCACAAAACTATCACCTAACGAGGGCAGAGATCTTAAATATGTGGGATACAGGAAAATAATAATAATAATAATAATAATAATAATAATAATAATAGCTAGGCATTTGATAGCAAGGAATAAGTGATTAAATGACATCATGTATGAATATATGATTTAATAAAAAGTAATGATCACACAACTCTCCCAGACCCACCCCTTTTTGAGGAAAAGTTGTAAGATAGTTCCACCAAAATTTCTTCAAGATAACAATAATTTTCACTAATTTCACAGCATTTGGCTGCAACAAATATGTTACATATCCAAAGTAGATCATAGAAGCCAAAAAGAAGGAGCTAACTGTTACCATTAACTGTAGTTTCTTCTTGTTTATGGAGTATAACATTGTACTTGCGCATGGTAAATCATACAAGCCAAATATCAGAGGAATTTTTTTCCATCATTCATTTCAACAGTTTGGTTAAAATTAACAAGAAATATGAAACCTTCATCTCAAGTCAAACAAAATCACAAAAATATCATGCACATTTTTTGTGCAATCACCAAAATAACTTATAATTTTTCATGTGGATGCAACAATTTAAGATGATTTTAACAGCTTCGATCTTCAGGCTTCACACAGGCATAACAATTTTTCATTTGATGAACAAAATTGCAGTTAGAAGTGTTTCAGTGCTTGAAGCACTTGGAAACATTTTTTTAAGTGACTTTTTCAGCAAAATTTCTATGCACAGGAATACATGCCCCTACTAAAATGCATCATCTTAGTGAAGCAAAGATCATCTATTGGATTGTTATAGGATCAGTTCTTTGTACATTTTAACCAGCACGATAGGAATCCTGAGATACCTGTCTCAGTTGGCTCACGAAAATCACTTTCCCATCTTTCCAATGCTTTGAGAAACTCATCTGAGCTTAAACTTCCGTCACGATTTGCGTCAAATACGTGGAATATAACATCAACTACGTTATCAGTAACAGAAATACCACAAACCTAACAACAAAATGAGAGAAAATGTAAGTAGACAAGGACAGGATATCTTATTGAAATTAGAAGATTATACACCTTATATATGAAGGTGCAGTAATGTCTCATTATAGGTATATGCATGTACCCTATAAAGGTAAAAGATGAGTAATAATCTTATCACAATTGATATGCTACTAATAATGATGTTACCCTGATGAAATTCAATAAAGTTCATTTCTTCCGAAAGGTTTATTAGGTAACCAGGGAAACAATAGGTTTCATCTATAAGCAGATCTGATCTGACTTTGAACATCAGTATTATACCATACTATTCTTATGTGTCAATATTAAAATAATGATGCACTTAAAGGAGATATTAGACAAAAATCACAGCCAGGAACATCCATGATTTTCTCTTTATATTTATGCGGCCAACATTAATTAGATGGAGGTGGATCATAACTTTAACTGTGTTCTAATGCATACAGTGTATGCGCTTATGATTAAGCTATACTCCTCCAGGAAAAGATCATACATGTGATGCAGCTCGTTGGAAATCTTGTTTCGTCAACGAACCATTTACTTTTCCATAAGTGAAGATAGCCAAAGTCAGTGGTCGAAGACTTTTTCGTAACTCTGCAAATGTCTTGAACTCCTGAAGTTTCATTTAAGAATTATGTGAAGATTAGCGGCCAAAATTAAACATGAGATGAAAAACTTGTGATAGACTTATAGTATCTGACCTCCAAGGTAACACGTGCATTCCTAAGATCTGGATGGTCATCCAATTCGTCTACTCTCTCCAATAACTTGTTTATATGGTTAATGTCAGCTGAAGCGACCATAGATAGTGCAAAATCCTTAGCAGAAATTGTTCCTCTTGACTTGAAATCATAATGGGAAAATTCCAAGTGCACAATCTGCAAAGTTGAGTGTGTTTCAATCTAATAATGCACATAAACCAAGACATAATCTTAAGTAAATAGATCAAAAGATTCGTTGCATCTTTGTAGATGATAAAACCTTAGCATACTTTAGCTCTAAACAACAATAAAAAATCATTATTGAATGAAGAAGATAACAAAGACCCTATGAGATCAGATACAATCTTGAAGTTTCTTCTGTCATTGCCTCTACGATGTTCATATAATTAAATTCCTTTTAAGTGAATTTTTTAGAACGCAAAAAGAGGAGCATTACATGCACCTATACATACTCGTGTTTAGTAAGTTCTAATCCAGTAAAACAAATAAACTTGTGTGTCATTAAAAGTAAATTCATTATACAGCATGCATTACAACTCTAAAGAAATTGATGACTGAAATTGGATCAAGGTAAACCATAAAAAATACCTCATCATGCAAATCCCTCAAAAATTGGACAAACTTATCATGATTAAGGCGACCATTTCCATCATCACCAAAGAAATAGCGAAGCAGACCACCATTTTCCACAGATTTCCCTACTTTATGACCACCACGTCGGCCTTCACTGTGACCAGCTCCTTGTCTATTATAGGATCGCATCAATGCCATCACTTTTCTAAACTCCTCCATCTCTATCTCTCTGGAAAAAGAAGTCAAACAACAAAATAAAATCAAGATAACTTGGATCAAGGTCAAACAACATAATGCTAAAGTACATACCCATTATGATCAAGGTCAAACATTTTGAAAGCCACACTGAAGCTCGATTCAGGAATGCTTAACAATGTGACAAAAAAGATGTACCTGTTCTTTAAAAAAAGGTTTTCATCAAGAATGAATATAATGACTAAATCTTTCGAGGTCTACCAAAAGATTAAAACTTTGGTCACTTACTCAGGAAAAGATATGAGCCCATCATTGTCGGTATCAAAAAGCATAAAGAAGTCAGAGGGAGCACAGTGAAGCTCGCCAGGAGGGTGTTCTCCTCTGAGAAATCCTTCTCTAACCCTATCAGATTCAGACGGAGGGAAAACAGGGACAACCGCCCTCATCAAATCTGCTGGTGACATGAAAATCTCACCATCCGGGCTTTTAAAAGATGCAAAGTACTCAAAAATCTGCGACATGCAAGTAAGGAATTATCATGTAGCTGTTGCCCATGTCAATGAATACACTCATATAACCAAAAGAACCTAGAGCACGAAGCATCAAAGACAATGAACTACAACAAATCTTCCGAAACCGCATCTCATATTGGTGTATTTTCACCCTTTTTCATTCTTTAGAAGTGAAATTAATAATAGTGGACAACGGCATAGTAGGTGTACTTACATGTGCAAAGTACTCAAAAATCTGAAAAATGCAAATTAAGGCGTGAGCATACAAACTAATATTAATCTGAATTCCAACAAAATATTTCAAAAATTGCATCGCAATTATGTAACTCGAATTGATAGATTTCCCCCTTTTTATTAATTAGAAATAAATGAATGTTAACTAAAATATGAGAAATGAATAGGGACAGAGCCAATAGCTCAAGAGTGTAGATAGATTATTAATAATACGGTTTTTCTATAGAGTGCCCATGGGCACTCTATAAGAGAGGAGAGAGATAGAGATAAATAAATAGCCCATGAGGCTCCCTAATTTGTATTAATTTCTGTGCATAATTCATTTCTCTCTATCTCTCTCCTTTCTTATAGAGTGACCATGGGCACTCTATAGAAAAACCGTTAATAATAATAATAATTAGAGTCGCGATAATTCATTGGAAATGAATTCCTTTCTCTCTCTTTCCTAAAAGATTAAGTCCCATATGATAAAAATTGTCATTTTTCTAAACAAATTACTGGGGAAAAAAGATTTACCTTTTCAGGAGGACTCTGCATCCTGATGCGTTTCTCGTAGTTGAAGAACACCCTTCTTCGATATGAATCTGCAGTTGCAAAAAAAGAAAATTAATCGCCAGATAAAGAAAATTACAGGGGGGCTTATATGCAAAAAAGACCTCCGAAAAGGAGTTTAGACTTCTTCTCTTCCCCATTCGCCAACGGCTCGATACGCATGCTTGAATGG